GTTCAAAAGATAAAGTTCAAGTTTAGAAAGAATTGTGTTTTATTTTTTGGGTAAAGGTCTTTTATTTACTGATTTGTAGGAGCTTCTCTTTTAGTAAGGAGATTAGATTTATTGTCATGTTCTATGAATTGCTTTCCTTTGGAGGTTTTTCTTTCTCTTTTTTGTCATGCAGAAATTTTTCAAATTGGCTTGTTTATACTGATCAATCATTTTTCTTTTTTTTTTTTTTTTTTCCTTCCTCGAATGCCTTCAGGGCACTTTTGGCCAGCGGGAGAGTTGTGAGGTTCGAACTCCAGCAACCTGAGGCTGACAGCTTTGTGGAAGCAGCCACTTAAAGGACTGAGCTAGGGCCAAGGGCCCCGATCAATCATTTTTCTTCCTGGCTTTGTCATGCGTACAAAGACCTTGCCACATGAGCTCATTAAGAATATTCTATTGTTTCCCCCAGTTTTATAATTTGAGCACTTTCTTCCTGTGAGTTTTTGTTTCATGTTTTAAATTCTGCTCATTTGAATTTAGTTAGGCAAACGATGTGAGGAAATTCCTCAATATAATTTTCCTCCAAATACTTTCTTATATAATCAATAATCAGCTGTGGCTTTTCCCCTCTGATTTAATATCCTAGCACATTATCTATATCTTATATCTCAGCGACTATGTGATATGATTTGAACTTTAATTTTTTCATTCATTTCATCTGTGTATATACAACTTAAATTATTATAGATTTATAATTAATTTAACAAGCTGGTGAATTTTTCCTCTCTGCTTTATCTTTAAAGAATATTTTGAGTTGTCCTTGTGCTTTTATTTTTCTGTATTATTTTTGCTTATTTAACTCAAAGATTTTTATACAACTTTTTAAAAAGTCAATGTGAAATATACATTATTTAATCACCTAAAATGACTTCGTTATTCATATTTTTGCACCTAATTCTTTTTTTGAGGTGATATATATGCGATATATATGTGATATATACTTGCAAATAATTACTTCTACTTTTCTAATTTTGGTAAAGTTTATTTTCTTTTGGAGAAAATATTTAACAGAATTGGTGATGAACATATTGTTTTATCCTAATTTTAATGGGAATATTTCTGGATTTTTGCCATTAAAATTTGTACAAGCTTTTAGATTAAAATATATCAGCAAAATATATAGAAACAATATATAGCTTTAACCTTTTACTTCTCATGTTGAACTAAAAATGATCTTTAGTTATTTTCAAGGGAAACAAATTGTTATTGTTTGGTTTTTCAGGCAGTCCTGAAACTTCTAGGTTCTTCTTTAGAACTGTCACTTCTCTGCTGCACCCTGTTTCTTTCTTGGTTTCAGTTGCCATAGGAATGTGAAAAAGGATGGATGACTGCTGAAGCTCTCTATGAAAACTCTAACATCAATACTTTACTATTTACTGTGTAGTGTGGTGTCTGGTTCCCAGTTCATGTCAACTTGTATGAAAAATTTAACTTTTGGAAATGATTATCTGCTATACTTTGCACATATCAGCAAACAATTCCTCTGTGCTTGCCGCAGAAGATAGGTAAAGATTAAAAACTATGTATTAAAGAGTTAGGGACAAATTTGCTGAGATAAAAAACATACTAGACTTTTAAACAGAAGGCCTAAATTTTTATTATATGCTTGCCTGTTACTCTCTTTTCTTGGACTAAACATTTGACTGCTAGAGAAAGAAAGATAATGCAGAAAAAGGATCATTATTAATCAAAATGCACCCTCTGGGCCAGCCAGATAGTTCAGCAGACCAAAGTGCCTGCTTAGGCAGAGTTCAGCGGCAGGGGTTCAATCCCCACGCCCCGGGGCACACTGAGACAGCAATTGAGACTGTGCATGGTGGCGCGCTTCTGTAATCCCAGCACTTGGGAGACTGAAAACAGGAGGATCACTACAATCTGATCTGTGTAATGAAACACTGTAGACCCTGTAGATTTTTAAAAGATTTTTAAAATCTTTTAAAACTGCACCCTTCTAGTACAGAGTGTTATATTTAAACTTGAAGAGTTCCAAAAAATCTATGGTATTCTGCAAGATACTATCTCTGCTTTGTTTTATGTATGTATTTGGTACAGGGTCTCACCATGCTTCTCAGACCCTTAGTGATCCTCCTGTTTGCAGCCTCCCCAGCATTGACATCACAGGCAGGCAGAGAGGGCACAGCATGTGGTACCAGGGACCAAACCCTGCTCCCTGCACTTGCCTAAGCAGGCTCTTAGTCTGCTGAGCTATCTTGCCAGCCCTATCTCTGCTTAAAAGAGCTTTCAAATACTTTACTTCTAAGGTATATGAACACCTTTATACATATTGAGATTTTTGCAACATTAATTAACCAAATAAAATAAGTTTGAGCCTTAGGCAATATTTCAACTTGGATTAAGTCAAATGAAGCAAGATAATTTTTTGCATAACTATAATGATCTTATTAGAGAGATTTCCATAGAAAAATAAACATTTTAAATTACTACATTAAACCAATTTGACTTCTTTCAAAATTCTATGAATCTTTTAGGTTTTTTGTTTTCCTAAATAAATATACTGCCATTTAAGTTATTTTTTTTTTGGATTGATCTTGGGATTTTGCACTTTTACATTTGCCAGGAAGGCACTTATGCCACTGAGCTATATTCCTGGCCCTTGTCAGGTGATTATTAATGGTCTCCACTTTGGGACTCTCAGAAAATCTTAGACATTGAAGCTTAGAAAAATAGTTCTGAGAACTATTCCTCATTGCATCAGGACTACAATTCTTCTACTTAGTTCCCTGAGGCCCATTTACAAAAGCACAGTTTCACAATGTTGAGCCTCTCTAACAACACAGCCCATTCCTGAGCTTGGTAGATAAGCCAAGGGATCCTTCCTAGTCTCTGAACATATAACGTCATATCCTTCTCACACCCACTGCTTCTGGACAAGACTTTCTTTTCTTTGCATAGTATCCATTCCCTCACTTTACAGTCTTGAGAAATTTGTAGCCACTGCTGTTAAAAAGTCTTAAATGGGAACATGCAGATAGCTCCACAGTCTAAGTGCCTGCCTACGTAAACACAAGGACCCAGGTTTGATCCCCGGTACCCAGCCAATCACCAAGACTAGGGGTGGTGGCACTCGCCTATAATCCCAGCACTGAGGAGGCTGAGAGAAGGATCTCTACAAGTCTGAGCTGCGTAGTGAGACCCCATACCAAATACATTTTTAAAAAAATTAAGTCTTAGATGAAGGACATGTTGTTAGGATAAAAGACTTCAGCTAATACTGGAGGCAAAGGAGCCCACAACATATGAGTTATGCAATAACCTTTCCCATCTTATCAATCTTCTCTAGCTGCAAGCCTAAGACACAAATGAATAGCTTCGCTCATTATTTTGTCACTGATGTTGTACAACTTCAAGTCACTTATTATCTTGCTGAATTCTGTGAGATATGTGCTACATTAAATACTGCAGGGGCAGTGGCTCCATTTGCCTTAACTAGTCTCGGTTCTAGTTCTGATGCCATCCTTGCTATGCTTCAAGCATGCTGTTCATTTCAACTCACATCACAAGATTGTTGAGGGAACCTACATTCACTTTCAACAGGTTTTCTTTTTACAGAAAATCATGCCCCAGAACCCTTAAGTCAACCAATGACTTTAGTAAACTAACTTTTCTCCCTTGCTTCAAGGAGAGCATCCTTGCACGAATTCAAAGAAGTCATAAAAATTAAAATCAGTCTTGTTTCATCACCTGCAGATTTTCTAAAGGAAAGCAAAAGGTTAAAATCAGATCATATAAATTCAAGACTTCAACTGCACTTCATATTATATGTGAATTGTCCTTCCTTCCTTCCTTCCTTCCTTCCTTCCTGCTTTCCTTCTTCTCAAGTCCTCTCCTCTCCCTCCTTCACTGTCTCCTCCATCCTTTCCCTTCTACTTCTTCCTCCTGCTCCTCTTCCTATTCCTTCTCCTCATCTTCTTCCTCCTCCTCCTC